ATAAAATCTTTAAAAAATGTGTTGTGTTTGTAATCAGATGTTGAATACATATAAAAGATGATGAATTACATTTAAGATGTGAATAATAGCAATTTAATAATCATGTACCCATCCCCCTATTTAAGAAAACAAATCCCCACGTACTTCAGTTGTTAAATTAACACATAGAGATACAAAATAAAGACTTAAATGTTTAGAGAAATAAATGAATAAAAATATGATTGAAGAATAAAAGACTATAATTAATGACTGAGCAGATTTGAAAAATAAACAAATCAAAGTTTAAAAGTGAAAAACAGAATGATAAGTATTAAGCCACCAAGTCTGTGGTGCTTGTTATGGAAGTCCTAGCAAACTAATATATACATTACATTACATTATATTATATTAATTATATTGTATTATATTATATAACATACAATATATTATATTGTCAATATATTATGGTTGTCCCATTTTCCTCCCTTTATTCCCCTCCACCCTGCATTTCTTCTCCCACCTGCATTCCCCCCATCCCTTACTTTGTGTCCATGGGTCATATATATAAGTTCTTTGGCTTCTCCATTTCCTATACTATTCTTAACCTCCCCTTGTCTATTTTCTACCTACCATCTATGCTACTTATTCCCGGTACCTTTCCCCCCTCTCTCCCCCTTCCCCGCTGATAACCCTCCTTGTGATCTCTATCTCTGTGATTCTGTTTCTGTTCCAGTTGTTTGCTTAGTTAGTTTTTTTGTTTTATGTTCAGTTGTTGATAATTGTGAGTTTGTTGTCATTTTACTGTTCATATTGTTGATATTCTTTCTTTTTCTTAGATAAGTCCCTTTAACATTTCATATAATAAGGGCTTGGTGGTGATGAACTCCTTTAACTTGACCTTATCTGGGAAGCACTTTATCTGCCCTTCCATCTAAATTATAGCATTGCTGGATAGAGTAATCTTGGATGTAGGTTCTTGCCTTTCATGACTTTGAATACTTCTTTCCAGCCCCTTTTTGCCTGTAAGGTTTCTTTTGAGAAATGAACTGGTAATCTTATGGGAACTCCTTTGTAGGTAACTGTCTCCTTTTCTCTTGTTGCTTTTAAGATTCTGTCTTTCTTGGGTAACTTAATTATGATGTGTCTTGGTGTATGTTTCCTTGAGTCCAACTTCTTTGGGACTCTCTGAGCTTCCTCGACTGCCTGGAAGTCTATTTCCTTGGCCAGATTGGGGAAGTTCTCCTTCATTATGTTTTCAAATAAGTTTTCCACTTCTTGCTTCCTCTTCTTCTGGCACCCCTATGATTCAGATGTTGGAATGTTTAAGGTTGTCCTGGAGGTTTCTGAGTCTCTCATTTTTTTTTTGGAATTCTTGTTTCTTCATTCTGTTCTGGTTGGATGTTTCTTTCTTCCTGCTGGTCCACACTGTTGATTTGAGTCTCTGTTTCCATCCTGTCACTGTTGGTTCCCTGTACATTTTCTTTAATTTCACTTTTCATAGCTTTCACTTTTTTCCTCTATTTTATGACTATACTCAATGATTTCTGTGAGCATTCTGATTACCAGTGTTTTGAACTGTGCATCTGATAGGTTGGCTATCTTTTCATTGCCAAGTTGTATTTTTCATTGCTTAGTTGTATTTTTTTTGAAGCTTTGATCTATTCTTTCATTTGGGACTTTTTTTTGGTCATGGCGATCCTGTTACGTAGTAAGGGGTGGAGTCTTAGGTGTTCGCCAGGGTGGAACAACCCACTTTGCTGCGTTGTGATGCTGCATGTGGGGGAGGGGTCAGAGAGGGAACAATGCCGCTTGCTCCACTCTCTGCCGGTTTTTAGTAATTTCCCCCACTACCCACAATCACATTGGGCCCTTTAGGCGCTGATTCCTGGGTAGGTGGGCTTGTGTACGTTCTAGGGCCCTATGGGTCTCTCCAGTGAACTCCCCTGTGAGTCTGAGTTTCTCCCGCTGCCACAAGCCCCACAGGTGTTTTCAATCAGAGGTTTGCGGCTTTATTTCCCTGTGCTGGAATGCTGGGTTGCGCCGTCAGTCTCACTCCCGAGTTGTTCCTCCTGGTTTATCTGCCCGCAAATGTGGTACCACACACTCTGCCAGCCGCCACCTCGATGGGTCCGCCAGCCGCTGCCTTGCTGTGTGTCCTCTCCACCTGGCTGCCTGTCTCTGACCATCCTACTGGTCTGTATGAATGTTTCTTCTTTAACTCCTTGGTTGTCAGACTTCCATACAGTTCGATTATCTGTGAGTTCTGGTTGTTTTTTGTTTTTAAATTTGTTGTCCTTTTGGTTGTGCGAAGAGGCACAGTGTTATCTACCTACCCTCCATCTTGGCCGGAAGTCACTAGAATTTCTATGCAGCCTTTCAGAGTTTTGCTAGATACATTCAAAATGTATAAACTTTAAAACATTTTGTATTTTACTAAGAAATTGACCTGAAACCTTTTTTAAAACTCAACAATTATAAACAGACACTTCTATGACAATATATCTATAGATCTACATTCTCATTTTCAAATCAGCTTCATATTATTCTATTGTATAGATAGTCCATAATTTATTCCACCAGTTTCTACTGACAGACATTTGTATTGTGTTCAATATTTTGCTGTCATGATCAGTAGTTTAACGAGCAGCCCAGCACTAGCCCCTTTGCTATTTTAATTACCAATGAAGACAATTTTCCATGGGAAGGGCCTGGAAGGCCCACTGTGACCCCACAGTGACCCCTCGGTGGCTACTCCTCATTCAAGTGGGCCCCTCATCCCCCTCAGCCTGGGGACAGCCTGTAACTTTATGCAGTTTGTCATGCAGGACCAGATGAGTGTGACTCCAGGCCCCTCTCCCCTTCACATCCTTGAGACCTCTCCTTTCCCACCTTTGGTCTCAGTCCCGTCCTCATTACCAACCCCAGAAGCAGGAGATGCTGAACAAAGTTCTAGCCAGTGTTCACGGCTTAGCATCCAGCCCACTGGGCTTTGTTTAATCTAGTGGCCAGCCAGTCATTCATGTCACTCCGGGAAATACTTAGACTCCTGGGAGCCGAAGCCCTGAGTGAATGCAAGGGAGGAATGATAAATACGCTTTTCATCGAGGAAAAGGAACACGGAAGGCTCAGAACTCAGAGCACTTTTAGGAAGGATTAACTATAATGGGCTAAATGACACCCTACATCCGGGGTGTCAAACTCATTTTCACTGGGGGCCACATTGGCCTCATGGTTGCCTTCAAAGGGCAGAAATAATTTTAGGACTGTGTAAATGTAACTACTCCTTAACTGTTAAGGAGTTGATATTACATTCGGCCCTCTGAAGGGAACCACGAGGTCAATGTGGCCCCCGGGGAAAATGAGTTTGACACCCCTGCCCTACATTATGCACCTGGGAGAACTGCCAAAAAGGCGAGATGGCCACATGCCCAAGTTGTTCAGAGTGTTAATAAGCTTCAGGAGCTTGTGAGATGCAGATTCATGGGTTCCACCCTCAAAGCTCCCCACTGTCCCCCTGGGGTGGGCTCCCCAGGGGATTCACGTTGCTTGATCTGAAGACAAAATCTTGAAAATTACCGCTGTACTTTGATCTGGTTAGGTATGCCACGGATTTTAAAAAGATGGGAAATAAATAATGCTTCAGGGAGTTGTCACTCACAGTTTGAAAAGTTACTAATAAGTCTGAGAAGAAAAGCAGATGAATTGCTTTGCTTACTTCTAATCCTTTTAAAGTCTGGACACATAAACTCTGTGCCCACCTGTATCCCTCTCTCCACCTGAAGATGGCATGGCTTTATTATAAAGCCATGTCAACCAAATGGTTTTTTTTAAAGATTTTATTTATTTTTAGAGAGAGGGGAAGAGAGGGAGAAAGAGAGGGGGAGAAATATTGATGTGAGAGAGAAACACCAATCGGTCGCCTCTTGTAGGAGCCCCAACCAGGTACCACACCCACAAGCCAGACATGTGCCCTGGCCAGTAATCACACTGGCAACCTTTGGTTTTGTGGGACGACACCCAACCAACTGAAACACACCAGTCAGGTTCTCAATCAAATGTGTGTTAAAGTTTGCGGGTACTTTGGGATACTGGTAAGTCACTAAGCTTGAAAAACCAGAAAAGGTGGACGAGACTGAGGAAGGAGGAGTTGTCTTCCTCAGCTACACGTGAGAATTACTCAGGATGTTAAACCACTATTGACTCTGCCAGAAGGGAAGCCTGTGTGGGCCTGTGCTGTCCTCTGCAGGTAGTCCCTAACCCAGACAGATAGACCTGCAGTCAGTCCTTTTCTGGATGCCAAATAGGGCAGAGGGGACATCTCTGAGTCCAAGGGATGGGAGAGTGCTCTCTACAGATTTAATTGGTATCGCTCTCAGAAAAAAGTACGACTTAATTTTTTTCCTTCTCAGGAAAGGAAATGGGGACAGTTAGTAAAAGGAGAAAAGGAAAAGTTGGTATTAGTGAAGTGTTGATATCTTAGTTCTGACACAGGCATTTGTTTCAGAGGAAACAGCTAACGAGCCCCTGCCCCAGGGATGGACGCCAGCAGAAGTGCTGCCTGCCCCGTCCTGGCCTCACTAGGGCCCCAGCAGCCGAGCCCTGGCTGAGTGCTGGGCCAGGGCGGCTTTGCCCGTGCAGAGCAGAAGAGCAAGACCATGGACCCTGCAGAGAGGGCTGTGTTTCTCTGTTAGCAGATTTATATGGACTCGATTTTCACTCTCGGGGAAAACCAGCATCTTGAGTCCTTGCAGAAGCAGTCCTGAGTCGGGAGGCAGCCTCCTGTGTCCCTGCTGTGGCTCTGCCTGGCGAGCCTGCCTGCCCTTGGGAAGGAGCCGGAATAGCTGGTACATAGATAACGCAAGGGGATTAGATTCGCTCATCTCCAAGACCCATGAAATCAGATTAGAAAGTTCAGTGAAATGCTTTTTGTAGGCATTAGATAGGCACTTAAATTGAATTACCTGAAAAAGGAACTGTATTTTAGAATGAAAAGAGAGTGTGTGAGGACACTTTGGCACTACCTGTCATGTCTCAGGACAGGGGTAGGCAGCACGTTGGTCAGCAGCCACCCAAACTCCGCCAGCGTATGCAGCAGGGGCCCGTAATCCGTCCTGATTTCACAGCCCTGCGGGAACAAGCAGAAGAGCTCCCAGTCTGATGTCAAAGACAGCCAGCTACACAGGCGATTACAATAAAGGGCGGAGGGTGTTCTGAAGAGGGGAGTTTACCCTCCATTAAGTGCAATTTCACTGGGGTGCAGCTTTCCTGGGCTGCGTTTTCTGCTACCTGCTGCCTCCTAACCCTTGAACCAAGTTAGAAACACTGGGGATCAGAGTAGAGACGTTCCCGTTCGTTCTCCAAAGTTTGGGCTCTCCTTGGGTCTTGTTGCCTTGGTCTTGTTCTGGCATCAAACGCTAATGGGGGTGGCACCTGCATTTTAAATAAGCTCCCTAGGTGACTCGGATCTAAGCAGTCACAGGCCACACTTTCAAAACACCCGTCTAGTGGCTGGGAACTGAGGACAGGAGTGCAGAGTGCGGACTGGGGAGTGAAAGGTGAGAGGCGCTTAGAACTGCTGTTGATTTTTTTTTTTGAGCTTAGAGCTGGACTTGATTTTGACTTGGAGCTTTACCTCTTCCTTCAAATCCTGTGTATGCCTCTCAATGGGATTTCTAGTTTCTTTGAAAAAATGGGCCATGTCTCTAACCTTTGTAAGACCAGAAAGGCAAAAGTGTCCATGGAAGAGCCTGTCAGCCAGGCCGCACACACACCACGGTGTGCCTGAAGTCAGTCTGCACACCTCACGTGCTGACCTCTGATCTCTGAGCACAGTCAGCAGCAATGCCCTCTCCCATTAGGGAGGACGATGCTGTGTGTACACATCCGCTGACACAGAGAACACCTTCTGGATATCTTTGCCTTTGACAGTTCCCAAGGTAAAAAGGCAATCACATTGGTTGCTTGGAGATAAAGTACTAGTTATTGACTGAGTGTTTTCACTTTCAGCCAGTTTTCATGGCATTGTGTGAAGGGAACAGAGCCAGAGGCCTTTGTTTAGGTCAGAACGCCAGTCTTGGGGATACACTGCTGTTTCAAATAGGTCATTGCTTTGCTATCTCACACCAGTGGGTGACGCAGTGCTCACAGGTCTGAGAGAAGTCTGTTCACGCATCTGTGAGGAGACTCCGAACGCGGCCCAAACGCATCAGAAGGAGACTTTGCTGTGTTAGGCAGGAAGAACTTTAACATGTAAAACTACATACGAAAGTAAAGCAAAATTGTCAGAAAGCTGCAGTTTACCTCGATAACAGTCCATTGTTCCACTACGATGGCATCATTTCCTTTTCTACTGGAACCTGGAACTCCAGAACCTTCTTCTTCATAGATAAAGAACCCTTCCAAAGATTTAGGCAAATGGTCCCCTTTGAGGGAAAGGATACAATTGAGGAGAGTTGTAAATGCTGAGTGTTTCTTAAGATCATCTAAACCCTTAAGTAACCCTGGTAGGAAGCACGCAGGGAAACATACACGTTAATAAACACTTGTTATGGCTCAATCAATAACATCCTCCTCCTCCTCTCTGAAGGTTTATTTATTCATTCTTCCAAAGGTCAAGACAGCTTTATACTTCACTGAATTAAAACCGAACTGTAAACATGAACACGACAATAACAAAAACATGATAAAATAACATCATACAGTGAGAGGCAAGTAGATTTTCTAAGCCTCAAAAGCGTCTGGAAATAGCGTCCCCTCGGATTTTGGTTTCCGATCTATTTGTTGTATGGATGTTACTCACACCATTAAGAGAAACAACATCAACAATGTTAATCCTTGAAATTTACCGGTGTGATATTATAACTAATGTGAGGTAAGATTACTTCAAAAAGTATAAACACAGAACAATTCTTTACTTCAGTGATTCTTAAAAAAAAAGAATGGTGACAGGAAGATTCTAAACAGAAGTCATTGTCAAAAGAATTCCTGCTGGGAAGGAAGTTTTAAGGGAGGGCCTCTTGACATTTTCTTGAATAGCTGACAACAACCATCTGGCCAAAACTGAACTGATTCTATGGAAGTTCTTTTGTCTCCAGTTTTGCAAGAGGAGACAATTTTCCCATGGTCACATGTGGTTAAATATTTTGGTTTTTATACAGCGAAATATCACATCAAAGTTTCCCTAGTTGACAGTTATCCAGACAACAAAGGCCTACAAAGTTTTCAAATACACTACTAACCCTAAACATAAAAAAGACAAACATAATTTTAATATAATATTTAGTTTTAATTTTTATGAACAGGCTACAAACCTTAAGAGAAAGTCATTATATTATTATTTTCACATCATTTATGGTTCAGACAGAATATCATGAAGAATTTACATTGTTCAGAGTGGTTTCCAAGAACCGATGAAGTTTAATTTACTAGTGGGAGATGGTCTTCTAATTACAGTACACACTCCATTTCCTTTAAATGTACTTGACTGTCACATCAGGTGACCGGAAGAACGAAATCTCTTTCTGATTGTAAGTGCAGGGTATCACTGTATCATCTTTAAAAATAGATGCAAATATGTCCCAAGTCCTCTTTTAGAATGAGGGCATATGAATTTAAAAAATAATTATATATTTTGATAACAATATGGTTATTTATAATTTATTTACTTTGGGATTGTACAGTATAATGTGAGACCCATAGGTTTTATGTCTCAGCATCTGTTTTCTTGCTCTCAGTATTGGGGTTTTCTAGTACTTCTTGACTTCTAGTTTAAAATAAAAGTGTGGTAGACTTATACAATGCAATAATGAGAATAAAAAGGAAAAACTCACTGCTCTGAAGCAACATTAATGCATTTCAGAGATACTATGTTAAGCAAAAGAAGCCATATATAAGGACATAACAGATTACATACTTTATGCTTCAACCTACGTAAAGTTCAAGAACAGGCAAAGTTGACCTATGGTGATGGAAGTCTGAACAATGCTCCTCTCCGGGAGGGAGGGTATTGACTGGGGAGGGTCATGAGGAGGCCTTTCTGGGATGTTGGAAATGTTCTGTGCCTTTTTTGTTTTTGCATTTCTTTCTTCCCCAGGTTTATGGAGATATAATAGACATGCTTTTCTCAGCTTTATTGGGATATAATTGACGTACGAGGAATGTTCTGTACCTTGAACAGCTGGACACATAAGATTTATGCACTGTTTACACGTATGTTACATTTAAGTTAAAAACCAAAGTCCACCCTTCTCACTTTAGGGCCCCCAGGCCCCGGGCTGGCTGGCTTAGAGCTCATGCTGGTCCCCAGAGCCAGAGCCGTAGCAGACTCACACTTCCCAGGAGACAGCACTAACAGAACTGCAGCTAGGGAGGTGGCCAGGAAGGTCTCGTGGGGAGTGACTATTTGAGAGTTTGTTGTGTTGAAACTTCTAGGTAATGGGGTGAGGCAATAAACCTGAATAATTACTTAATAATTGTGCCCCAGTGGTGTCACCTTTAATGCTACCTATTCCAGAACTTCCCACCCAGTGTGCCTTGGCCCATTAGTGTGCTGAGAAACAGATACAGGTGTGATAAGACGCAGGCGCCCCCTCCTGCCTAGAGCAGCTTTATCCACTTATACCGTGTGCCTACAATATTGCCATTTTCCATGTGTGCATCATATGAAAAAGTCACAAAGCATTTACCTACTGTTTCTCCAAAACAATTTTTTAAAAGTCACATACCACCATAGCAAAGGAAAGGACACTTGTGCTGAGGAAGGGTGGTCTCCAGGTCCAGTGTGCAGTGGTTTGTGGCAGGCAGAAAGTTTCTGTAAGGTCTAATGCTGTATCTCAAAAATCCATGCACACTTTGTATTCTTTTCAAATATATTCATATTGTGTAAAGAAGTAATGTTCCCCCCTCTGCCCTCTTAAAGTAATAGTGACACTCTAAGAGGAAGTTTACCCTGTGACTTGTGTTCTCCCTGGCACAAGGCTGCGTGTGTACCCTGAGGGTGCTTGGACCCTGGTTTGAGAACACAAGCTTAAAGGGTTCCCAGGGAAGAGTTTACGTGTCTGGGCACGAGCTCTTGCATAGTCACTCTGGCTAGATACAATATTGGCACTCCTATAAATGTGAAAAAGGGTAATACTCCATTTTAGTAGTTTTGGCCCATGTGTCATTTTTGGCATTAAACTGCCCAGAGGTGGGCCCAGGACCGTCTCAGAGAAATGGAGGGCAAGCACGGATGGGACCTCTCTTTCTGAATTTCCTTCATGCCCATCTGTCTCCAGAACAAATGCCAACCTACTTCTCTCCGTCTCCGCCATCTTCTCTGCGTGGGCCATTGCAACAGCCTCGTAACAGCCTCTCCACTTCCACTCTCGCCTTCTGTGGTCCACCTCCCAAAAGGAGGCCAACGAGGGGCTTTTAAAAATGCAGATCCTAACTGCTTCTCTACACTTTTAATGAATGACTACTCAGAATAAAAGTCCTGACAGGACAGCAAATTGCTTAAGAGCACCCACTTACCCAGGTGCCCCCTCCCCCCACCCCCACTCTTGAGTTGGTGAACAGAGGCACTTATTTAATAGCTTGGTGCCTTACTTTCCTCATCTGTAAAAGGGAAATATTCAACCTACCTCATAACGTTGCTGTGGGGATTAAAGGAGTTAATAAATGTAGAGTGCTTATGACAATGCTGGTGCACAGTAAGTACAAATCCATGTTAAACCTTGTTGCGTTACTTCTATTATAAGGCTCTGCACGGAGGGGCTGCTGCTCACCTCTCCTGCCACATCTGGAGCCATTCTCTCTCCAGGGACAGAGCCCTCTTCCCAGTTCCCCTTTCCTGTCCTCGAGTTCTCGTACATTTGGGGGTGATTCCTCTGTGGAGAGCTGTCTACCTGTGGCTCCCTGGCTGGCTCCTTTTCAGCCTTCCAGTCTCAGTGGGATTGTTACCCCATCAGACGAGACCTCCTGACCACCCCTCTTCGTGGGTTCTTCCCTGTTACTCTCATTACAATATCCTGTTGGGTTCCATCACAATGCTTTTCTCAATTTTGAAGTTAAATACATGTTGTGATACCTGCTACTGCCTGATGCTGTATGGCTAGCTCCTTGAGAGCAGGGAAGATATCCATTTTGCTCATCATTGGAAACCCGGGTCCTGGCCTATACATATATATGAAGTGAATAAATACCTATTCAAATGTCATTCCTCTACCCCACTGCTCACTCTGACAGATCTCCCTGCCAGTTCCACACAAGCATTTTATAGGGGTCAAGGAATTGGACTACATATCAAGTGAAGTCTGGAAAGAGTTCACAAAGAATTAAAATATATTCTTAAGATATGGGTATGTATGAAAGGTGGGAAGAGACTCTGCTCCGAGGATGATGGGGGCATTTGTAGGCTGGTGAGGTGGGTATGTGTGTTTTGCAGAAGTGGGCAAAGCTGCCCGTCTCACCCCATGTCAGGTGCCCACTGAATCTCCGTATGTTCTGGCAGGGTCAAGGCTTTGTCCCCGTGCCAGCCCCAGGTAAGTGTGCATTGCATCCAGTGGAGGACTGGTTGCAAAAGGCCTAGCAATGCTGCAGAAGGTCAGGTACCGGAGGCCATGGCAGTGAGAACCCTCAGGCTACAAAAGGGTCACAGGCGCATTTCTGTGGCACTTTTCCAAGTGGAAAAGGCTTTGAGGGAGGTTAAGAAAGGGCACTAAAGAGGAATTTCACAGACCTTACAACTTTTCCACCATGACCTGCCCAAGGAGAATATGTTTGAAAACTTTTTTTTTTCCTTCTCTCTTTCTGGAGGAAGGCGTTCTATAAAACGAGATGTGTGGAATAATATATTTAAATTTCTGAGCCATGTCTGGTTTTGCACTTGTATTCCTTGTGGCGCGCTGACTTCTGACAGTATTTTGGGAGAGGACGGAAGCAAGACAAAACAAAATGTGCATTGTCCCCATGTGCTTTAGAAGTCAGCCATCGGCTATCCCAGAACAAAGCGACCAGGTCAGCCCTACTTCCTCTTGACTCGCTTCTCACAGTGACAGAGGCCTTGGTCACAATTTCCCCTCTGCAGCTTCCCTGTGTACTCCCAGGGAAGTCCTGAGTGACACACCCGGTCTCCGGACCCAGACCGAGGTGGCTGTCAGGGACTTGGCGGGGTCTGCCACGTCAGATGTCTGTCTGGTGAGGCCTTCCAGAGCTGCTGGCGGAGGTTCTCCCCCTGGGCTCTCTAAATAGCTTCTGAGGCTTTAAGAACAAAAGCCCTACAGAGCCTCTAACTGGCAACTGCTGTGGCTAATTTTGTTTTCCACAGGCAAAGGCCTGAAAGAGATTGTGAAAGGAGTATTTTTTGTTTTTTTTCCTTCAGCAGTTAGTCACAAACCAAAATTTGAAATGGCTCCAACTTTGACTCTCTGGAGGGAAGGAGGAGAGAGAGATGGGGGGAGATGAGGAAGGAGGGAGGGACGAAGGGAGAGAAATGTGAAGCATGAACCGACCTCCGAGGAGGAGACCCGTTCTGAAAGTACTGGAATTGCACAGAGTTAGCATCAGGAGAGAAAACCAGCCTCAGAAAACGAGCTCTGCTGGCGGGTGAGGTGCCGTGGGAGTCACTTTGCACACACATCCTCTTATTAGATTCTCACAACAGTAAAGTAGGAGTATTTTTAAACTTTAATTTATTTGTTGAAGTACAGTTGGTATACAATCATATATCAGTTACATTAGTTTGGGGTGTACAACATAGTGATTTGACATTTTTATCCCTTACAATGTGATCACCCCACTACTTCTAGTGACCATCTGTCACCATGTGAACTGAGCACAATATTGTTGACTATGTTCCCCTTCACTTCTTTAACCCCCCGCCCCGCCCCTGCCTTCTGGTAACCATCCCTTTGGTCTCTGCTTCTGTGAGTTAAAGCCTCAGTAATTTTATCCCTCTTTTGAGGAAACTGGGGCTCAGTGAGCTCAGCTAACTTCTTCAGATCACACAGCTAGTAAGTAGAGAGCACAGGATTTAAACCGTGGTCTGGCTGATCTGAAAGCCCGTGGGAGAAGTTTGCAATGATAAAAAAAAACCCTGAAAAATATTTATCGAGCACCTGCTATGTGCCAAGCATTATGCAAGGTGCTGTACTTCTGGGGGTTTCAGTGAGCTCGATCCTTGCTCTTGGTTGCTAGTTAAAAGGATCTACTGGAACATGACTCTTGATAATTTAAAATATTCATCCAAAGTCTTTCACTGTATTAGTGAAGTTGTCACTAGACTGATTCAACGATAATAAAGTATATGGAGACCTCATCTCACTCTTCCATTCATTGCTCTAACCCCAGTGGGTTAGGGCCTCCTTATTCTGGTTTTCATAATGTCCATCCTTCCATGTTTGCAGTTTCCTTACTGCCTATTTTTCTTTTCTTTTTGTTAGCACTAATCTCTTTTTTAAAAACACTTTCTCTAGAAAGCCATTTTTGCAAAGTTTTGTTTGTTTTTTGGTTTTGTGGTATGGATGAATGGTTACAGATTCCACTGCAACTAAGAGAGGAAGGTTAAAGACAGATGAGAGATAGGGGAAGGCAGAAATAAATATGAGATCAGCATCATTTTCTGAACCAAGAGTTATTTTTCTAGCCAAAGTACAGTAAGAGTCAGGTAGGTAGTGTCCAACACTGGGATAGTGTAATAAATTTGCATAGTAATTATCCACTACTGTTGTAAGCCTCCTGATTGGGCTGTGGTAGTGACCATGTTCGGAAACTCCTGCTAGTCAATCACACAATGGTCTGTCGGGTCCTGACAATTACAATCTGACAACAAACATTATGTTAGAATTATACCACACAGGATGGTTAAGCTTTTAAGTTAAAACTACGTAGCTGTTTAAGAACTGGAACTATTCCCTGAGGAATGATGTCTGTCCCTTTAGCCACAGAACTTGAGAGGCAAAAACATGTCCACCAACTCTAACACAAGGTCAATTTTTTAGATATCGATGTATCTTAATTTAAAGCTTACCTTTAGATGTTTCCCAGCATAGAAAAGAATCAATTAAAGACAAGCCTTGCTTGTAATAAAATGTAGTTAACTCCAACCAATCGGCGTCAAGTGTACTAATGACAGATCCTTTTCTTGTTACTTTCACTGACAGGATGCCCTCCTGATAGGTCCAGCAGGTTGATTCATCGTCAAAAACATTGAAGGCTATATACAGCTTGTTATCTGAGGATAGGCATTCAGAAGGAAGAAAAAAGGGAAAAACTATAATTTTATTGAAAAGATTCTTAAAATCTTTCTTATAATCACGAGCTATTTCAAGCATCTAAAGAAACATAGAGAAAAATGAAATCACCACTCAGCTTTATCAAGTATTAATATTGGGCCATGTTTGCGTCAGACTTTTTTCAAGGAGTTGACATGGATGCAGCTGAGGCTCACTCTGTAATCTTCCCTTATCCTATTCTCCAGAACTAGTCACTTTAATGAATTCGGTATTTATCACTCTCATGCAAGCATTTATTCTTTTAATACAGATTCATATACCTATACATTATACACATGTTTTGTGTGTTAGCAAGCTCACATTACTTTCATTACAGACAAAAGTGTTTGGGTACGTGTGTTACGTGCATATTTCTGAGTTGAGTCTCACGAATCTCATCAGAGGTCTTTTGCGTGTCGGCTCCCCCCATACCTCTCAGTAGTTCTAAGAACCACTGCCACAGAGAAGTTATTGAGAAGTATATGACTTAAAAACAAACTATTTAGAAAGTGGAAGCTAAAAATTGATACTTAAATTAAGTAGGTAGTCTATTGGTTTTAGAACGTAAAGAACTGGAAATAGACACCTGATCTAATGAAGGTCAGGGTGGGGACCGGCAGTGTAAAGGCAGCAGCGGGTAGAAGATAGAGACTAGTTCTCTGACCATAGCTCCAACCTTTGTTCACACTCCTACACTCCTAAAAAGTGTACATTCCTACACTTTTTACACTGCAGGAAAATCGGGGCGGGGGGTGGCCTTAGTGAGGGAGCTGGTGAGAAAAGGGGCAGGGTGACGGTGTTGAAGATGGGGGAGATGATGAGTTGGGACTCGGTCCTGGTTCTTTTAAGGAGATTGTGCTGACCGAGGTTTTTGTCATGCACAGGATGTTAAGAACAGCTCAGCCACAACTGGGAGAGTTGATGCCCCAGTCTGTGCACTGCAGCACTACCACTGATAGAAGAAGGGTCAGTTAATAGCAGCTAACTTAATACAGAGTTTGTTCTGTGCCAGGCAGTGGGCCAAGTGCTTTTGTACACATCTTTTGTCTACATCTCACAACAGCCCCCTTTCTATAGAGAAGTTGACGGAGTCTTATTCTCATTCTAGAAGTTAAGTATATTCTTACCTCTAAGTTATACATACTCTTAGATTTTCTCTAACAGGGCTTTTTAAAACATGCTTGTTAAGGTATCAGAAAACTTTGCACAGTCCAAAAACATGAGTAAAATATGCAGTTTTCTTCAAAAGACTTGCTAGTGGCTGAGAACAATAAAACTATTGTTTAAAGATATTTTAGGATACAGGCTCTATTGTTACATTAATTGTTTCACCATGATGTGCCATTTTCGTATTCTAGTTGACAATCAAAGAAAGCCAATTAACTTCGAGGGTGAAAACCATCCATGAAATGGGAAAGGCCAAAACTTAAATTCTCACACACTGTTTACAAGGACAAACATAAATCAGAACAGCTGTCTTTCTCGAATCGCTTTTTGGATACGTGTGCCCAGCCTCCACTTCACAGGGAGGCGGTGGATGACCAAATGGAAGGCAATTTCCCACACAGCTTCCTTATGTGGGCCACACCGGAGATAACTGTTGGAAAAACTAGCCGACCTTACGTCTGGCTATAACGATTTTAAAAAATCAAGACAAGTTTATATTAGTTTACTTTGTCATCAGAACCTTTAGAAATTTACTTTGCCTCATATTTCTAAAAAATGTAATTTGCTAAATTTAACCTTATATATGTTCTGTTTCTATTCATCTTGTCTATTACCTTCTCCCTTTTTTGATTTAGAGGAACTGGGGCTGCCATCTCGTTCCACTTGACACTGTCCACTTTCATGATGAAATTCTTCCTCAATTCCGCTTTCCGATGATTGCCCACTGAGTGTTCCCTCGGTCCAGCTCTTCCAGCTTTCATCTGAGGTGCATCTCACGTGTGGTGTTGATTCTGCGTCTCCGCCAGGGTTGTTTCCATTGCAGAACGGTGGGTAATGCTGGGATATGAACCCAACAAATCTCATTCCTTTCTTAGCAGCTACATTAATCTGAGGTTTAAAAAGTGATGGTAGAACAAAATGTAAGCTTCATTTGAACAGATTACTTTATCAATTAACATTTAGGCTTATTAAGCAAATCCATTAGAAGAAGTAAATTTACTGGTAACTAAAGACCCATTCATAAACAGATTAACACCTATAGTAGAGCGCTACTCCTAAGACCATGCCACACTACTAACGTGCTGTCTTCAAACAGAACTCATACACTTTAGAAATTATGAAAACAGAAATCATATTTTTCTTTAAAAGGTTACTATTTGGGAAGAACTAATAATTCTAATTCTATAGTATGCTTTTTGCAGACCTGTTAACAAATGGTCTCTCTAGTTGAGGAAAAATTAAAACTATTCCAAGAAATCCTCAAAAATAACATTACCAAATACATTTTTCTCTTGCATTAACATTTCTGTGGGCATTTTAGGTATGTGCGTATGTATGTGTGTATTTATTTATTTATTGTTGTGTGTTTTCATTGTATTTTTCCATTACCATTTATCCCCCTTATACTTCCCTCTCCCCTAAACACATCTTTTAAAAAATATATTTTATTGATTATGCTATTACAGTTGTCCTAATTTATCCCCCTTTACCCTCCTCAACTCAGTACCCCCCATTCCCTGTGGCGATACTTCCCCTTAGTTCACGTCTATGGGTCATGCATGTAAGTTCTTTGGCTACTCCCTTTCCTATACTGTTCTTAACATTGCCCTACCTATTCTGTAACTACCTGTGTGTACTTCTTAATTTATGCACCTTTTCCCCTATTATCCCCCTTCCTCCTCCCAACTGGTAACCATCCAAATGATCTCCATATCTATGATTTTGTTTTTGTTCTGCTTGTTTGCTGTTTGTTTTTTAGGTTCAATTGCTGATAATTGTGAATTTATTGCCACATTAATGTTTATGGTTTTGATCTTTTTCTTAAATAAGTCCCTTTAACATTTCAAATAATGATGGCTTGGTGATGATGAACTCCTTTAGCTTTACCTTGTCTGGGAAGCAATTTACCTGCCCTTTGAATCTAAATGAAAGCTTTGCTGGATAGAGTAATCCAGGTTGTAAGTCCTTGCTTTTCATTATTTTGAATACTTCCTGCCAGCTCCTTCAAGCCTGCAAAGTTTCTTTTGAGAAATCATCTGACAGTTTTATGGGAACTCCTTTGTAGGTAACTATCTGCTTTTCTCTTGCTGCTTTTAAGATTCTTTCTTTATCTTTAAACTTTGGCATTTTAATTATGATGTGTCTTGGTGTGGGACTCTTTGTGCCTATCTTATTTGGGACCCTCTGTGCTTCCTGGACTTGTATGCCTATTTCCTTCACCAAATTAGGGAAGTTTTCTTTTGTTATCTTTTCAAATAAGTTTTTAACTTCTTGCCTTTTCTCTTCTCCTCCCAGCACCCCTATGATTTGAATGTTGGTTTGTTTGAAGTTGTCCCAGAGGCTCCTTATCCTATCCTCATTTTTTTGGATTCTTTTTTCTTGCTATTCTGATTGAATTTTTTTCTTCCTCGTGTTCCACATCATTGATTTGATTCTTGGCTTCATCACTTCATTGTTGATTCCCTATATTTTTTTCTTTATTTCATTTAGTGTAACCTTTATTTCTGCCTTGGTCTTTTTTATGCTGTCGAAGTACCCACTGAGTTGCTTGAGCATCCTAATAACCAGTGTTTTGAACTCTGCATCTGATAGATTGCTGATCTCCATTTTGTTTAGTTCTTTTTCTGGAGTTCTATTCTATTCTTTCATTTAGGCCATATTTCTTGGTTACCTCATTTTGACAGCCTCCCTGTATTTGTTTCTGTGTATTAGGGAGGGCTGCTTTGACTTCCTATCTTAGTAGCATGGAGTAATGTAGAAAAGCGCACCTAAGTTGGATGGGGCAGAGCCTTACGTAATTGCCTTGGCTGGGCAACCCATGTGAACCAGGTTGATGGAGTCTCAGATATGGTGTTACTCCTCTGTGGCTCTGCATGAGAGGGCTCAGAAAAGGGACAGTGACCGATGCCTTTGGAGTTTTGTCTGGGAGGGAGCTGTCCCCTGGCATTCACCCTGCTGCCAGACACCTTAGTTTCTCCCTGTATGCCATTGATGTCCTTCCAGCTGCTGCCCTGGTGCTGGAGCCCAGGGGGAATGAGTCTGTGTAAGTCCTAAGTCCATTGCGGACTCTTTAAGAGGAGATGCCTGAGAATCCCACAATTTCTTCTGCTGCCCCAACCCTCACTGTTTTTTACAGTCAGAAGTTATGGAGATTTATCTTCCTGGCACTGGAACCCTGGGCTGGGGGGCCTGGTGTGGGGCTGGAATCCTTTGCTTCTGAGATAACCCTCCCAATATTTACTCACTACACATGGGTGTGGGACTGCCTGTTCTGCATCTCCACATCTCCACCCTCCTGCCATCTGAGTGAATGTGACTTCTTTAATTCCTTGGTTGTTGGACTTCCTTACAGCCTGGTTTTCTGGGTGATAGTTGTTTTGCAGTTTAGTTGTAATTTTTGCTGTGGTTGTATGAGAAAGTGAGCTATCCTATGCTTCTGTCCCTATCAAGATTTAGAATTCTCCCCCCTGAAATACATCTTCATTAATGGATGTTAATCTAAAAGCAAAAAAAATATACAGTCATTCAAAACTAACATCTGGCAATTCATTGTTTGTTTGGTGTGGTTACAGAAAAATGTTAAAAGACAAATTCTTGAGAAATGTGTGTGTACGATGCATAAACCCAGTTCATACTGCCCCTCTCAGGAAGCTTCCTAACCTGCTTATATCCTGGTGCCATTATCGCCTGTCTGGGCCCAATAAACACGATTAGAGTCAATCCTGCCGGTCACAGAATAGGATTCAGAAGCACTTGGCCTAATTCCAATGAAATGATTTCGGACATTAAGAGTGGTTATTTTCATGCACATCACTGTTCCTTGTCTCTGCTTTTCTTCATTTCTTTGTCTAGTGGTGCCCATGTCTTTCCCTCCCTTCCCGTGTTATTTTGAGGGCAGGACTGTGTCTTATTCATCTTTGTATTGTAATATTTTGTGCATGTAGGTGCCCTGTAAGTACTTGTTAAGTTAAAATGAAGAAAGAACACTATCCTTTACATGGTTACTGTTTTAAGTGTTTCCTGGGAGGGGAAGAATAAGTTATGCTGGAGGTTGCATATGTAAACATCTGTAGTCAGAAATGAAATGGAGTGAAGCAGGCCAGGAGGGGGGAGGGCAAAACCAGAGAGCGATGACCAATGAAAGGGGAGACCATAACCTCACTTGTGCTGATGAAGAGAAGACTTCTGAGGACAGAGAGTGTGGGCGTGTGAGCTAGGACAAAGGACTATGCTGACACAATATCATTTATTTATCCCCGAAGTTAGCATACTGACATTGTAACAATGTATGAAGGCTTAACAGTAACCACAAATTGTCCTGTACATCTAGTGTCCTGGGAGAGGAGAGGGAGGTGGTAAGGAAGCCATCTTTAATGGAGTTCTGCAGGTGGAAACAAATTTACTGCCAGTGCTTTCCCTAGGTCTCATTAGTTGATTTGGGTGAAACAGTGTAGAAGCCTTTTACTATTACTAGATAGTTTTATCTGGAAAAGTCTGGTAACAAATAGACTATATTAGTTAGTCTTTTCCATTTTTTAAGTCGGAAGATTGATATTTTCCAATGTTATTGTTATTTAAAAATCCTGGGAAAAAACACTTGTAAGCCTGATTTTAAAAATAGAGCAAATGTTAATATAATGTTAAAATGTCTTAAAATGTGGCTGTTCAACAATCAACTCTTTATATCAGGCAGCTGTTCAAAAATAACACTTGGCATTCATCTATTGCTCTTGTTCATACATGGGGCAGTGTTCAAATATTTCATGCGCTATGTTTCCTGAAGCTTTTCTCTTTATGAAATAACCCCATTACTCTAATTGCTGAAATAACAGTACTTTCCTGTTTAAATAGATTTTTAACTGTCTCCAGGAAGTCAAGTGCAAAACAAGAGCTCTGATGGTGATCTAGTAAGACTAAATTAGTAGTTACATTTTTGTTTTCAAAAGAAATTTTCTGAAGTGGATTTATTCCCAGAAAAAAAAATCGTAGTTTCCCAGAATAGTAGTAGTAAACAATATGTGTACCTTGTTTATAAAAATCTAGTCTCAAAGACCGCTCCTTAAAAACCTTACTGAATGGAGACTTTATGCCAAAATGGGAAGTATTAGCAGCTAAAACTGGCTAACAGAGAACAAGTCCCACAGTGTCTTACTTGAAAGGAGATGCCTTAGGTTTTCGGTTGTATTCATTTGAATAAAAGCTAAAACCTTAGAAATATGTCAATGCAAGTAAAAAAAGAAAACTTTCACCATGACATTCTATCAGTTGAGAATACTGATAAATACAAAATGTTCTCTTGACAGACGCACAAAATTTTCTCTTTCCACAGCACATTACCCGTGCACTGTGCTGTGTGTTCACCCCCCAAGTCAAGTCCCCGTCTATCACCATTTAACCTTCCCTGTGCAAAGTTTTAAGTTTCCATCAGTTTATATTGCATGGACCAATTGTCAATGTAGTTGTCAGTTTAACCATAAAATATTCCATTGTATTGATATACCACTGCCTCCTTCTCAGTTTTCCAGTTGTTGAGGATTTGGCCTCTTATCCACTATTGATTAAAATATCTATGCACAGAAATGACTTTTTACCCTCTCAATTAATTTCTTCGAATAGATTTCTAAAGAGGAAATTACTGAGTCATGAATTATAATGGGATTTATAATTTTTATTACTAAATTTATATTTAGGAACACTGTACTAATTTATTACCATGTCAGTCGCAATATATGAATTTTTCCTACACCTCTTCCAACACTGGATTTAATACTTTCAATTCAATTTCTCAGGTAATACTGGTGAGGTATTAATTCTCAGTTTTTATATTTACATTAAAATTATCAGTTAGGTTGAACCTTTTGCCAAATGTCTACTCTTTGTGTTTCCTTCTGTATTTACTGTTTATGGAGTCTGTCTGTCCATTCAAGACTGGGCACCACTTTGATGCATATGTATTTATTTCATATATATTCTGAAACTAATTCCCATAGGACACTTTTGTTGCAGATTTCCCTCTGGATTCTTTTCTTTTAAAGCTTCATTTTACTAGTATGTGTTATATTTATATACTAACCCCAAACTTCTCAATCCATTTATAATTAAGTATTCATACTATGTCTACTCTCTCATTTTCTCTTAGATATTTTTATACTTAAAAATTATCTCTTCATCTCATTTGAAATGTGTGGCATGTATTTCCTACAGAACAACTGCCCACTTTTCCAGAGGCACTTACTAAGTAATGGTTGCTCCCCTCTTTTATTCCATCAGGTTTGTTATAAAACTTCTATGTGTATAAATTTATTTCTGGCATTTCCACTCTGTTTCATTGGCCAGTATTTTTGTTTTTCAGCTCTGCATGATCTGGTCTACGTACGTCAGTGTGTTTTAAACTCTGGTAGAATGTCACCTATTATTTCCTTGTTCTTTTTAAAGCAAGAAAGGAAACAAAGAAGAAATACCAAACATTTCTCAATATCCCATGGAAAAAAATGTATATATTTAGTACCTTTTCTATCAGTTCTTTTGCTACGTCATTTGTTTGTGTCTCGTAAGTTAGAGGACATTCCTCAATCACAAGTCGTGGGCGTCTTTGTCCACTGGGTGCTGCTGAAGGCTTCGGGCTGTAACAGAGAACGTGTTCATAGTAGGAAGCGAAGTACTGATTTTAAGCTTAATATGCTCATGTGAAAACGAGTGAGCAACTCACAAATAAGGTCAAGTAATCAATTTGTTGTTGTTATTTCAAGCCCAATGGTTGTCTTCTTATACAAAAATACCAGAAAAACACAGTAACTTTTATTAATTTAAATTTTCTTAATTTAACGCTGGCTTGGTAGCTCAGTTGGTTAGAGTGTTGGTTAGAACGCCAAGGATGCGGGTCCCACCCCCAGTTAAGGTGTGCACAAGAATCAACTGATGAACGCATAAGTAAGCGCAACAACAAATTGATGTTTTTTTGCCCCTTCAAACCAATCAATATCAAAATTTCTTAATTTAAATCTCCTAATTTAATTTCTAGTTTAAACTGGAAGAAAATTTCACATCTGTTGTTTTAATGAAAGTTATGAGAAATAACTTTAGATTACTATTTACTTCATTATTGTACAAATGCACAAGTAAAAATCTTATTCAAACGCAGGCAAATACTGTCCTGTGTTTTTCCTTTTTCTTCTTTTCTGATCTTTACCCCTTACTTATTCTTACTTAGCCTTGTCAGGGCGCTAGTAAGTCTATTTTAAGTAATGCTAAAAGGGAAAAATGTCTACATAGCGTATATAAAGTCTGTAATTAGGAAATAAATGTTACTGCTGTGTGATAAAACGGCGTGTGGATTTAGGAATGCTTGAACTAGCAGACATCTCAGGAGGCTGCGCATTGTGGTGAGGGCTGAGGCCGGCACACGCCCTCTCCGACATGGGTAAGTAGGCCACCACTCAGTAGCAGACAGTGTCCCTTCAAAGCACACCTAGAATTTTTTAAAAATGTTTTTTCTTCAGTTTTCCTGTTTCCTTTTATTTCTTATGTCATTTTTTTCTTCTAGGCATTGCCCTTTCATAGTGAAAGTGGTTGACTATTAGACCATTGCCATAAAGAGAAAACACAGTTTCTACCCTGGTCTTTGAGATGGTTTTGATATAGTTGAAGAATTGCTTTAAAAAAGTGCAATGTGTTAATCAAAGAAAATTGGTCTGGTTCTTTTCATTCTTTATTGGAAGGAGCAGCAGTATTTGAAATCTATCGAACTTACAAGCTAAGCTGGAAAAGGGTTACAGTACTGTTTGGGAAAGTAGCTATTTTTAAAATTTTTAAAAAATAAAGGAAAATAGGTGGCTTTTACATCCTATATTTTTGGAAAAATCTGATAACTGAATAAGCAGTCCATCTAATTTGTGAGAACTTGGCATGTAGGCCTTTCTGAAGTAAGAGTTGTAGAAGGGAGATACTTAATGTTGTTGCTATCAGTTAGACAATACGGGGCAGTTCAGAAAAATGCTCAGAGCAAGTGGACTTCATGGGCCAGCACCAGGGCTCTTTGAGCCCGGGGGTGGGCCGTGTAGCTGCCTGCTGTTCCCACGCCTGTCGAAGCTGCCCCTCGCTCACTGACATCCTCACCTGGGGCCAGTTTGTCTGCTAAAACCAGTGAGGAAACACTAATGTCCTTCCTCCAATCTGGTTCAACCCCACTTCCCCCTCCAACTTATCCTTTACTTCCACCACTTTGTTCAAACTTTCTGTTCTTTTAGCCAAAGAAAACTGCCATTCCCAACAGCTTCTGAGTCTATTTCCTTGAGCAGCAGGCTTACCTTAATTTCAAGCGGGACAGCACCGCCCTGTACAGGTAACTTGCAGGTAGGTGCTTTCTCTGCCGCACAGGTTGTATGACAGGATGAATAGCCCCAACTATATATCCTTTAAGATAGTAATCTTCCACTTTTGTTACTATGTCTGGAATTGAATTTATCTTGATGACTTCTGAATTTGGTGAAGCTGAAATATTAAGCACAAAGAGAAATTTGCACATGCAGTTGTTGAATTATACATTATTTCTATGTGTGATAATACTGAGTAGGAGACACACTATATGATTTAATCTTCAAATAAAGTTACAATAACATGAATTATATATTTTCTAAATTAATTTCAGAAAAGAGCAACAAATGGAAAAATATAATAAAGTTTATATATTTAAAATAAGAAAAAAGCAACAGTAACTTTATGAGCTCATAGATATATAATACTACCAATATGTCTTAAAGTAAAAATCTAATGCCTTATACACATATTTTCAGATGAGATCAGGTGCATTTAGGGTGGTATGGCTGTAGACTATACAGATATTTTTCAATTAAGATAGTTTATTTCTTAGGATTTCATTTGACTATATTTCTATTAATAGATACTGAAGACATACACAAGAAAAACAGTATTACGTTGAAGAGCTAGTTGTTTTTATGATTTGGAATGAGATGCATAATTCCTTAAGAATAAACTTAATACAAATCTAAAATTAAAAATGGAAGAAATGGTATTTGTTAAGTAAGAATTGTCATTTCCAATTACATTTCTAAACTACCGTGTTTTAAGTTTCTCTGGGAAGCTAAAAATACGATTTCATACGGCTTTTAAGTTTGAGTAAAGGAATTAAAAAGTAAAGGTATCCAGAAGTTCTTTTGAAAAAGTAAGAATTCTAAATGCATAGGAAATTTAAATGTAAAGTTGATATGCAACTCAACCATACTTTTGAAATAGGATAAGTCTGTAGAAACTATCAAATAGTACAATCTGGTCCTGGCTGGAGTGGCTCAGTGGACTGAGCACTGGCCTGCGCCCTGGAAGGTCGCAGGCTTGCTTCCTGGTCAGGGCACATGCCTGGGCTGCAGGCCAGGTCCCCAGTTACGGGTGTGTGAGAGGCAGCTGATCAGGATCTTGCATAGATTTCTCTCCCTCTCTTTTTCCTTCCCTTGCTCTCTCTCTAAAAATAAATAAATACAATAAAAAAAATAGTGCAATCTGTACAGTTTTTAGTAAAGGGGAAAGGGTGTATTACTTGGGAACATGATTCTAGTGTTCCAGCTGTATTAATTTAGAAAACACTTTCTGTAACAAATGAGAAAACAACTTCCTCATTTTCTGGAAAACAATCAAGAATTAATATCTAGAAGTAGACCCGCAGTTTGAGTATCTCTTGAGTAACAAAACATTATGAAATTAATTCCAGGTACAGGCAGTGCTGGTTCTTGACCTTCTGTCAGTGCAGTCAGTGGTGGCGAGCAGGGAGCTGCAGCTAGTGGCCTGAACCTGGGGAGGAGGTTCAGGAGCAGACAAGGAGGAAGGGTCAGAGAAAGCGCCCCCTCCTCTTACATTCACAACCATGTGATGGAACACAAGGCCACCATCGGTGGGTGTTCACGCCAACTCCTCAAACCAAAGTATAGCACTCAATAGAAAAGTTACATAAACCAGGATGACTCGATTTCCTCAAATTTTCATCCTCCTTTGGATTTAAACTAATCTATTCATAAAATATTTTCTGTATCATTATGAATAGGAATAAAAACAAAGGACAATCCTGGACTTTGAAGAAACAGCTGGGTTTCATTGTAAAACGACCCAGTTGGGCCTGGTGTGTGGCAATCACTCTGTGAGTCATTTGGTTTTCCCATTTTTCAGTATTTTTATCAACCGATGCTGATTTCCAAACAAAGGACCTGAATAACTATAAAATAGAATAAACTGTTAAGACTAGGACTCAAACACAACCTAAGCTTATTTTTAGAACTATATACTAATCCTACAAAGTTTTAAAGAGAATTTCAGTTTTTAATGACTTGCAGGGCTTGTTGTAGAGAGTGGAGATGCTTCAGCGTGACACGAAAGGGCCTCCACAGCCTGGGCTCTGCCTGCCTTTCAGCCTTCACTCTCGTCGTCCTCTTCGTAGTATGTCCTGCCTCGGCAGGTGGTGGGAACCACGGGCGTGCTGAGGCTGGCAGCTCGCTTCGTGACACCAGGCCTCCATGCCCTTCCCCGATCCCCAAGCCAGAGTTAGTTATTCCTCTGTGCTGCACTTTATTCTACTGCTTCCCTTACCATGCTGTAGGATACTCACTTGTTCACATGTTTGTCCCTGCTGTCTGAGAATTCCTTAGGGCAAGGAACCCACCTTACTTCTCTTTCTATGCCTACCATTTCCCCAGGTCATTATGTTAGGTTGGAAATACTATTCACAAAGGGAACTAAGGGATGAAATTATTGCAGAAAGGAGGGAAAGCCATCAAGGTTAGCTTGTGGAAATACACGTAAAAAAAGTGAGGTCAGCTAATTCAGGAACAGTCGTGCGGGTTATCTAGATGGTAGAGGAGAGAGGCGCAGCAGGGAAGGAGCACCCAGGCAGCGCTGGGGAACTTGTTCTCTCGATCACCACAAAAGCGAAGGTGGTCAAGAACCCAGAGAGAATCCAATCAGGCAGAGTTTAAGTTCATACTCACTTCAAAAGGCTCTAGTTTCAAGGTCCCACTTTATGTTCCTCAAGTTAACGACATTATGATAAAAGAAAAAAAACACATTGCAAATGAGGTAAAAGGTAATGAGAGAGGGAGCTATACTGGGTGTAATTAGCTCCATCTCAGAGAGAAATTTGGAGAGAAGTTCGGGAGAGGACTGCACCGCAGACAAGGGATGAGCCTGCGGGTCTGGGAGAGCTCCTGGATCCTGCTCAACCTCCTTCTCTCGCTGACTGGTTTGGGGTTGCTGTTAGATCCTGTATTGTCTCATCCAGTCTACTGTGGCAGCATTGCTTAGGAGGAAACCCCAGAAATCAAGAGCTCAGGGTTGGGGAAAGTGGCCTCTCCTGGAGCCCAGGGTGAGAGTTCAGAGCTCTTCAGGCCGCTGCGTGCTCCGTCTGCTCTCTGGGTTTCAGCACTTTCCCAGAGAGGGGCATGCGGCAGCCAGCACTGAGAAGGCCTTTAATGTGTTCAAAGAGGCCCGTCAGTTGTTTGTTATTAAACATAGGTATTTGAAAATATTTCAATTATTCTGTGTTTTCACCAGATGCTCAGCAGTTAGAAATATGACAGCTGAACTTGAACAACAAAGGCGAGAACTGCATGGGCCCACCTATGTGTGCCTTTTTGTTTTCCTTATGATGCTTTCTCTAGCTTACTTTATTGTGAGGATACAGTGTGTAGTGCCTGTAATGTACAAAATAAGTGTTAATCGACTGTGCTACTGGCAAGGCTTCTGGTAAATAGTAGGTTATTAGTAGTTACGTTTTTGGGGAGTTAAAAGTTTTTTTCCAACTGCGTGTGTGTGTGGGTCATCACCCCTAACCACTGCGTTGTTCAACAGTCAACTGTATTGGACTGTTTCAGTTCTATAATCTGCCTGCCTCCCTCATTAAGGATGATATGTTATCTGGAGACAGAGGTGACGGCTGTACACCGGTGCACATGTACTTAATGTCACCACACTGTACACTTAGAAAGGTAAAGATGATCAAAATGGTTAAAATGAAATTGCTAAGTGATAAGAAAATAGGAAGTCATAGTTTAGTTGGTGCATTGGTAATAAACTGAAATTTATTTAAAAAAGAATTGATCTCTCATATAACCATAATAATAGAATCAGCAACCAAATAAGTAAATATGATGAAAGAAAACACTTACTAGATTCTAACTATACCGTTATTTGCCAATGACTCTGAGCCATAGGTGTGCCCTTTGTTGAAAAGGAAAATTATTAGAGACATGTTAAAGACATTAACTCTAAACTGATTGGAAACCTTAAAAAGAGTAAATAGCACACAACTTCCTGTCTACGTGATTCAATGTTATTTAATTCTGTGTCTGTGTGTACAACTTAAGAATATCTCATGTCCAATGCTGAGTCATTGGGTGGAGGTTTGGAGACCCACTGGATTAGAAGTATCAGGGACATAATGATAGTAGCAAAGGGGACAGGTGACATTAGAAGGAATAAAATGAATTATAAACTAGATAAAAGAACTCTAAAAACTTTACAGCCTGCGGTCACTTAAAGGGCTTACCACCCTTCATTGGCCCAAATTGACGATAATGAAAGTCATTTCCTCCACTGTAGTGTCTCAGAGCACGGTTTTCAAAGGCAGAGTTATTTAACATGTTAAAAACAACCACAACAAGATTGGCTATAGCAGAAAAACATTGGTGCTTAAAAAAGTCCCTGTTTGGGTAGAGAATGTACTTCTAAGGAACACCTCACTCTCCGGAGACGTCAGAGAAATGTCATGTCAATGGAATACATCCAGCTTTTCTGTCTAATCCACATCCTCTTGTCTTCTCAATAAAGGAAGGTTATTTCTTGAAACTCAATGCAAAAGAAATGTTAATGCACGAAACACACATGTGCACACACACAGGGAGTTTCAGGAAGGTTACAAACTGAGAAGGCCAGACAGTGTGTAAAGGGAGAAGGAAACTGTACATGAGCACTAGTAAGCACATCATAACAAACATGTGTAAAGACCATGTTTGTTGGGGCCCAGGGCTCTGTGTTGATTACTTAACTCTCTCAAGTAGGAATGCGTTCCTATGGGGAGGTCTGTGTCTTTTGATAAACAGCCCTCAGAATGGTCGTGACGATTACGGAAAATGCTTGAGAACTCCTTGTTAAAAAACTAACTGAATGAAAAACTGGGCATGGCATTTACATATTCGATTAACAGAGCTCCGGGGTGCTCATGGAGCGGGGGTTTAGAGAATAGACTCTAGGACCAGACTGTCTGGCTCCAAAGCCCAGCTCTGCCACTGGCTAGCCTGGCAAGGTACTTTTGCATTCATGTGCCTCAGTTTCCTCCTCTGCAAAGTGAGAATAATAATAGAACACACCTTAGAGAATCATTAGGAGGATTAAGTAAATTGATATTTGTTCTCAGAAAGTATCCGGCATGCAGTGAGTGCTTTGTTGGATGAGGTCCTCCTCTGTTTAGAGAGGAAACACACTATTCTCACTAA